CAAGTCCCAGACCCAGTGGCTTGAAAATTTTGCCAGGCGTGTGTGAGTGCCCAGGATTCTGGGAGAAGAAGGGATTGCAGTGTGACCATCCCTCCCCCAGGGGTGATTTCTCACTTTCTCTTTCACTGTCTCTGTCTCTCTCCCCCACCCCTGCAAGCATAGACACCCTAAGGAAAGATTTAAAAAAGATCATCACCACATTGCAACAAAACTGATAATGTGAAAATGTAATTTGGATAATGCCAGCCCCCTGCTTCAACCTTCAAGAATTTCTCATTGGGGACCAGCAGTTAGCGTAATGGCTATGTCGCTGGACTCCCATGTAGTCGACTGTGGTTCGCGTCCCGGACCTGGTGACTTAAAACTCACGCCGGGCGCGTGCGTGTGTGCCCAAGATCCCGAGAGGAGAATGGAGGAGAAGGGATTGCGGTGTGGCCATCCCCCCTGGGGGGGTGCTTTCTCGCTTTCTGTCTCTCTGTCTCTCTCTGTCTGTCTGGCAAGTGCGCGTGTCCTATAGCAAAAACCTCTCATAAAAAACAAAACAAAACAAAAAAAACAGAAAAAGAAAAAAAGAATATCTCATTGAATTTAGAATAAAATTCAATCCATGGTCTACATGGTCTAAGTGGCCTTCATCTTTTGTTACTGTCCTCCTTGTTCATTTTCTAGCCATCTTAGGCTTAATTGCTGGCTTGAAAAGAGTATGCTCTTTACTTCCCTGGGAGCCATCAAACAAGTGCTTTCCTCTGTTCAGTGTGCTTCTTCTCACTCCTGTGGTCTTAGGTCATCCCAGAGCTGGCATCCTCTCCTCCTTTGGTTCCAGGGTTACTTGACTTCTTATCTAGTTTACATGCGAATCATTCTTTGATCCTATCTTAGCATTTCTCTTGATTAATACCTGTGATTTCCTCGTTTACCACTTTTTTCAACTCTAGCACAATGATAGTACAAAAAGATAATCAATTCATCTTTGTTAAATGAATGAAGGTTATTTCCTTAAAATAGATTACACCTAAGATGAAGGAAGCTGATGTAAGTAGAGGTATTTCTGAAATGCAATTATTCTGAAAGCTCTCCGTGCTTTTTTTCTTTTAAAGAATTATTCTATTAAATGTTATTTAATTATTATCATTGTTATTTTAATTTGACCAGAGAGATACAGAGCTAGAGACAGAAGGAAGGTGAGAAAGCAAGCCTCCAGATCTAGGACTTGAACCACTGTTGGCCGTATGGGAGTCTTAACCACCACGCCGCCTGCTGGTCTCAAGAACTTTCCATACTTGAAGAGCTTTCAGTGATCACATCTGATTTCTTTGGGGCTCACCTAGAATTTTAGAGTGACTTTAATTACCACAGTGTGGTGCAGACAGCAGCAGTTGTCCTGTAACTACAGTCTACTTTCTCAAGATCTTCCTCACATTTGTCCCTAACTGAAATTGCCTTGCACCTCAACCCTACTTCACCCACGACTCCCTCAGATTTTTTTCCTACTGTCCTACTGAACCACCAAGAATTGCTCTGCAATGGTCCAGGAAGTACATTTTTCATTTCTTTTCCTTCTAAAGCCCTTTAGCTTTTAATTTCAAAGCATCGACTACACTATGCTCTATTTCTTCTTCTAGAGTCAAATGCTGACACCCCCACCCTCCTCGTTCTCATTCTTGACTCTTTGGTTCCTGGCTCACCGCAATCCCTTTCCAATTGGGTTCAGTGACAGTTCTGGATGATCTCAGGGTCCACATGGGCAATCCTGCCAACACCCTGACTTCCCAAGTTCATGACTTCAGCCTCTCAATTGTCTTGTCCTCCACCTTTACTCAGCTGCCCAGCCTTCTTGGACCCCCTCTGATCCTTCCTTGTTGATTGAGCACCTCCTCCGCAAACTCAGTTTCAAGTGTCTCATTCTTTGGCCAACATGTTTTCCCAGTTAAACCATTCTAGTACCCAACTCCAAAAAAGCCTTGGAATCTACTGGGTTCTGTAGCCAACCCTACCTACCATAACCTTTTCCTTTCCCTCAATCATCTCGTGTTCTGCTTGCCCAGCTGAAACTTCATGGTCAGTCATTAAAGTCACTCCTTTAGGTCCACTCTCACCTCTTTTGCTTTTCCCTTGTTTTGTGACACTTTTATGGCAACATTTCAATGCTGGTTAAATCTAACTCTGTCTTTTCTGCATTTGTGCCTACACAGTTCAATGTGACAGAAAAACAACCAAGCTGATTTATCACACTCTAAATTCATCCTTTTCCCAAGTTTATTCACTCTCCACTCTCTTAAATTGCAATTTCATTATTCTTCTCTTCTTTGTAAAACTTTTACCCTATCTCCAGTTTGAAGGACACTGCTTCCTGTTTCACTGAGAAAGGAGAAACAGCCAGCCTGGCTTTGGGGAGATTTGCTACCATACCTATGCATGCACATCTGTGCCTACATCTTTTTCCTTCTCTACTTCTAGGGAACTGGCAGGTGGATTAACTGCCTACTCCCTTGTGTAAAGGCAGACCTACATGAAGGATGTTGCTCCTGAATTCTCCCTTCCCTCTTCTGCATCATTGATTTCCTGATCCCTCATCCAAATCTGTCCGCTCAGTATATAAACATACTGCAAAATTTCCCATAAAAAAGACTGTCTTGATTGCCCCAACCCAACTACCTTATTTCTAAGCATATCTTTACAGCTAAATTTCTTTGAAAAACTTGAAAATTGTCTATTTTTGCTGTTTTCCCTTCATGTTAATGCATTCCAGACAGGCTCTCACTCTCATCAGCCTATGGTCACCGACGACCTTCACGTTATGAATTTCAGTGTTCACCTCTCGTCCTTATCCTTCGTCATGAGCACTGGACTCAGGCAGCACTCCTCCCCCTAGAAACACCTCTTCCTTTGGCTTCCAGTTTGTCATATCTGTCCAGATTTCTTCCTACCTTATTCTGACCCACCTTCTGCAACTCAGCTCCCTCTTTCTACTCCAACCTCATGTCTTATAACCTTCCTCTTCCTCAGTCTCCTGAGTCACAGTGGCCTCTGGATCAGTTTGAATGGGCCAGGAGTATGGTCACTTGCTTTGTCTTCCTTCTGGAAATATCCTTTCCCAAATGCACCATGATGCTTTCCTTAACATCTTTCAGTGTTTGCTCACATATCACCTGCTCAGCAAGACTTTCCCTGATCACTTTACATAAAATGTTACCTCTTCCTCAAATATTTACTACCCCTATTTTGATTATTGTTTTCCTAAGCAGTGATTATCCTTTAACATGTCAAATACAATACATGTTTATATATACACAATATAAAATACTTTTGCCAACTAGAATGTGAACCTGATGAAAACTTCTCTTTCTTTTCTCTATCTTTATCACCTAGAATTTCAATAAGTATTTGCTTAATGAAGAAAGAAGGGGAAAAAAAAAAGAAAAGTATTTTTTCAGGAACCAGAGACCAATATTGCTGTGATCCACTATATTACCATAACTAATCAGGGTAATATTAATTTTGATTATGGCTTGATTAAATTTCTAGGAGAATGTAAAGTGGCCTGACTTTCATGCAAATCTAAGGAGATGATTAAAGTTGGCTTCTT